TCAGTGAGAAGCCTGCTTCTCCCTCTCCCTATGTCTGTTGCTCTCCCGACTTGTGCTCATTCTCTCAAATAAATATAATCTTTTTAAAAAAAATTTTTTTTAAAAATGTTCTCTTCAACAAATGGTGTTAGGGAAACTGAAAAGCAATATCCAAAGAATGAAACTAGACCACTTTGTTATATCATACACAAAAATAAATTCAAATTGGATGAAAGACCTAAACGTGAGACAGGAACTAAAAATCCTAGAGGAGAACATAGGCAGTAACCTATTTGACATTGGTCAGAGCAATTTCTTTCTAGACATGTCTCTTGTGAAAGGGAACAAAAGCAAACTCTTGAGACTCCATCAAAATAAAAGGCTTCTTCTGAATAGTGAAGGAAACAATCCACGTAACTAAAAGGCAATCTTCAGAATGGGAGAAGATATTTGTAAATGACCTATCTGATAAAGGGTTAGTACCCAAAATCTGTAAAGAACTTATCAAACTCAACACCCAAAAAACAAATAATCCATTTCAAAAATGGTTAAAGACTTGAACAGACATTTTTCTGAAGAAGACATACAGATCACCAATATACACATGAAAAGATGCTCAACATCACTCATCATCAGGGAAATACAAATCAAAACTACAATGAGGTATCACCTCATACCAGTCAAAATGGCTAAAATTAACAACACAGGAAACAACAGATATTAGCGAGGATACAGAGAAAGGGGAATGCAAACTGGAGTAGCCACTCTGGAAAACAGTATGGAGGCTCCTCAAAAAGTTAAAAATAGAACTACCCTATCATCCAGCAATTGTACTACTGGTATTTACCAAAAGGATATAAAAACACTAATTCGAAGGGATACATGCACCCCAATGTTTATAGCAGCATTATCAACAATAGCCAAATTATGGAAAGAGCCCAAATGTCCATCAACAGATGAATGGATAAAGAAAGATGAATATATATATATATATATATATATATATATATATAATAGAACCCTACTAGACATAAAAAAGAATGAAATCTCGCCATTTGCAATGACAAGGATGGAGCTAGAGAGTATTATGCTAAGTGAAATGAATCTGTCAGAGAAAGACAAATAGCACATGATTTCCCTCTTATGTGGAATTTGAGAAACAAAACAAACGAACATAGGAGAGAAAAAGAAAAAGTGAGGCAAACCAAGAAACAGACTCTTAAGAGAACAAACTGATGATTACCACAGGGAAGGTAGATGAAGGGATGGGTTAGGTGATGGGGATTCAGGAGGACACTTGTTTTGATGTGCACCAGGTGTTGTATGTAAGTGTTGAATCACTGAATTCTACACCTGAAACTAATATTACACTGCACATTAACTGGAATTTAAATAAGAACTTGAGGAAAATAAATAAGCATTAATTTTTAAGAAATAATTTTTTTAAAGATGTTATTTATTTATTTGACAGAGAGAGACACAGCAAAAGAGGGAACACTAGCAGGGGGAGTGGGAGAGGGAGAAGCAGGCTTCCCGCCCAGCAGGGAGCCTGATGAGGGGCTTGATGCGGGGCTGGGATCACGACCTGAGCCAAAGGCAGATGCTTATCGACCAAGCCACCCAGGTGTCCCAAGAAATAAGTAATTTTTTAAAAGTCAGGGGTATAAAAAAATTATATTTATTAGGGACTATATATATTCAAATAATTCAAGAAATAATCTCTTTATGAAAGAAAATACTAAATATGGCTTCAAATAAAGGAATATATAAACAGCAATTATGAAAGAAGCCAGACCAAAATACCCCAAGCAAAAAAGAAAAAATTAAAGCAGAGACTACTCCAAACTAAGTTTCTACAAATGAATCACCTTTCGATGTTTTAAGTGCACTGGAGTTAGTTTACAAATGAAAAATTTTATTTTATTCTAAAAATCTAGAAAGACCTATTTTATTTATTTAAAATGTCTAATGGAAGGTTAACTCTTTTTCTACCTAAAAGGGAGGGGGGTCTACTCATGGCTTTAGTTTATATTATCCATTTATTCAAAGTGGAAAAGTGGAAAAACTACAAAAGTGGAAAATACAAAGTGGAAAAACTAAACTTGAATGATAATACCTCATTCACTCATATGAAAGGGCTTATAATGGAAGGACTAAGTACAATGGTTTTCAAATTACGTTCCTGGAGCCTAATGGGCTCATTTTAGGGAATATTTTGGTTGTGTCTGATAGAGGAACTCTCTCATATTTTATTTATTAGAACTTTGAATAAAATTTTCTTTACACAGGAATTTTATTTGTAAAAACAGTTTTTAATTTGAAAACCATCACCTTAAAACTAAAGCATTTTAGCCCTATTCAAAGCATTAGCAAGAGAAATAGGGATATTTAGGCTACAACGAGGCCAGGCAAAAGTTCCTTTTGAAAACACCACACAACTACTTGGTAATAAGGATTCTAAAACTGCACACCATATTTTAATGTTCTCAATTGTACAACAAAAGTAGTAGTAGTAAACATATTAGAAATAATTCAGACTTTTAAACCAGACAGTAGAAGTTGAAATTCAAGCTCTGTCACTGACTGGCCATGTATTCTTGGCTTATTTAATTAACTTCTCTGAACCTCTTTCATAAAATAAGTTATAATGCCTTATTTTACAGAACTGTTTTAAGATCAAACAAGATTATGTATTTGAAGCACTCAATACACTATGTGACACACAGAAAGCATTCAGTAATAAATGACAACTACTGTCCTTACTAAAAAAATATTTTGTATCTTAACTTACTTTTAAAAAGCACCCACACAACATCTGGCACAGAGAAAGCATTCAACAATAAATGACAGCTATTATCATTACTAACAAAATACTTTATATCTTAACTTACTGTAGAGGAAAAAAAATTCTAATAGATTCACCTGTCAGCTTTTAAATAGGGGAAATGTGCCAGAAAAAGAAAGACTATTATACTAGCTGGTTCCTCTGTTTCATCCTGTGAAATAACATAAAAAAATTTTTTTTCCATCTTCAAGGCATGTGATTATTGATGGCTATAATATAGGTACTTGGAAAAGATTTGTGTATTTGCGGTAGGATTCTTGTGAGATACTTAGGTTACTTGAATAGCCAATGAATGCTGGTATTTTGATTAAGCATCTGCTTATATAATGCAACAGGCTGGACAGTAGAAACACACAGCTTTATACCATAAGAACTTTTTAACATAAGAAGGCCTGAGCACAGGGAGCCCTAATTGGGCTGGATCCCAGGACCCCAGGGTCATGAACTGAACCACGGCAGCCTCTTAACCAACTGAGCCACTCAGGTGACCCCATTTAAGAGTTTTAAATTCTTTATTTATCCCTGTTGTCTTTGGTTTGTGTTGCTTTCTACACTGAACACTCTATGTCAGTAAAATCCTTTCAAAAATAAGCTCAAATCGTCTTCTCCAAATATCCATGATCACTGGACAGTGCTCAGTTAATCATGCTACTGAACATAAAGCACATATTATCATTCATACCAACTATTGTCAAGTCCTTTAAAGTTCATAATTCATTTTCACATTTTATTTATCTTATTTGTGCCTCAAAAAAGCCCGGACTAAAGTAGAACGAGAATTAAAATTTTATCTCCCAATGGCTGACTCCAGGCCTGGAGAATGAATGCATTTAACAAGAAAAATAAAATCTGCATTTTAACAATATGAGAATACTGAAGTGTAAAGACTCAATGGAAACTACAAAAATCTTAAGAATAGAAGTTCAAATCTACATCTTCTTCATCATCCTACTTACTGCTCAGGTTAACGTCTCTCTCCACAGCAGAAAACTTAGAGGTAGAGCAGGAGTCATTGTCCTAACTCCCAAGAATACAGACTTTTTCTATTAATAAAGTCCTCGTGTTTTGTAAAACCAAACTTTGGTTCTTATCTATTTTACTAACTAGATTTTGTAAGTATACAAGTGACACCCAAAGTAGTAAATATCAACTAAATATTACCTATATGGAAAAACATTTTAGGCACTAATATTACAACAAAGAAAAATGGGGGTTTGGTAGCTTCTCCACACTGATTTGTTAGTAAATAATCTAAATCCCCCCAAATTTTGTTTATCTCTATCTTGTCAAATATTTGAAATATACCAAAACTACTAATATAAAAGCCTAACTGCCTTGATTACAGGGAATTTTCAATTAGATGAAATTCCTTCATAGCACACTAACTTATTTTAAGTTAATGAAGAACTATGTTTCAGTATACAAAGAACTTTAATTCTACCTTAACAAGGGAATTTCATATTCCTCCAATGGGCATTTACTGAGTAACGGCCATATACAAATTTATTGTGCCACTTTTATAACAGCACTCTATTATCATATATAACTATACTATATATTATCATATATAACTGATGCGTTTACTGAATAGAAAGACACTAAATCTAATTAGGAAATCACTTGTAACCATATACTTTTTCACACTAGTAGTCATAAAAATTAATACCTCTTTTAATTTCTGTATTTCTACATTTCTATATTTCTATATTTCTATAACTTACAAAAATTATTTTAAGATTTTTTCAGTCCACTTTCAATGCCAAGTGAGAACAAATTCAAAGCTAGTTAGCCTACTTAACAGGAAAAAATAAAAAACATCTTATTGTTTTTTTAAATATATTTTGATTTAAATTCAATTAATTAACATACAGAGTATTACTAGTTTCAGAGGTAGAGTATAGCGATTCATCAGTCTTCTGTAACACCCAGTGCTTATTATATCACATGCTCTCCTTACTGTCCAATTATTAGTAAATAAGGTTTTATTTAAAATCACCCAAGGAGGTAAAAAAAAGTCACTAAGAAAGTCAATCAAGAACTATTAGCACCATGCCTCTTTACAATATATGAAAAACTTAACATGAAGGCAAGAACTTGAAAATAGAAAGTCAATTCCATATATATATATTCATCAAGTTTCTTCTTATAATTTTTTTTTTAAAGTGCTAAAACCAACCTGGTATAGAAAGTGTTGGTCCCCCTTGGTAATGTGATGATCCTGTATCCTGGGTCAAGTCAAACAGTAACTCTGAAGAATTATTAGATACAACTCGTGCTGAGTTCGTTACATAACCCTGTTAAAATATTTCAAAGGAAGAATATTACATTTACTCAACGTAGTTACAATTATTTTGTTTCATAAACTTTTATGAAGGTAAATTGAAGTGTATGTCAATATTATAAGAATAGCCTTTGATGACACAGTTAGCAATTAATAAGTTATAATATGCAGAGGTAATTATTACTATCTGTCAAAATCATCATCTACTAAAATTGAAAGCAAGCTCTTACAGTTGTTGTGTTTCTAACTAGCCAATTAAAATAGGGCAAATTCTAGTCTGGTTTTTTTACCCCAAGAGAAAGAAAACATATATACCCATTTTAAATCAGCAGGATTGATACACTCTAGAGGACTACTAAAAATGCAGTATTCCCGTCAAAGAGCAAATGGTAAAACTTTGCAAAATCTATGGGTAAAAGTAAAAAATGAGGAAAATACACTGACCTAAGTACAAATTTAAAAGCTTCCGTATCTCTATAAGCCCCCCAGACAAAATATCAGGGCAAACAAATTAGGAATCAGTCTGCAATACTGTGCATCAGGATTAGGGATGAATATAGCACATGGTTTGAGCTTTAGCATCATTTTTATTGGAAAATTTATAAGGCAAGTGTCAGGAAAAGAAAGAATGGATTCCCCCCCACCACCCCACTCCTCCTGTTATTCCACAGGAAGCCGTGTGAGATTGAGGTAATCTCCCATCTCATAAGGCATATATGAACACTTCGTGGTCAACAGCGTAAACCCAAATAAGAAAGCCAGGCAAACCGGTTAGAATGGAAGCTATTTATAGGAATAATCTGAGACAGCTGCTCTGCTCCTGGAAGCCTTAGGGCTCAAGTTTTAGCCTTTCCGTCAGGAGAAAAGATGGTCCCAGCTAGTAAGACCACGTCAAGAAGAGTGAAAAGTATGAGATGAATTATAATGTGCTCAAGAATTAGGTAGTATAAATTTGTGTATTTAGTATAATTATGAAAAGTGTGATCAATTTAGGGATGTATACACGAATACTATTATATATTAAACATACTGTTAGACACACTCAAAAAATATATTCCAATTCTATTTTTAAAAGACCAATATTGTAGAGTAAGCTCTCAGAGTGAATTTTGGACCATTCTATATGTCGTAATATACAACAAGCAAAAGTTTTAGGATTAACAATGCTTAAAAATCAAAAGGGAAAAAGGCACCTTAAGAGAAAAATGGGCAAAGGCTATAAACTGAGACACTTCAAAAGCAAAATACAAATGACCCATACATAAAACTCTTTCCAACTTACTAGTCAAAGAAATGCAATAAAGACAATGGCAATTTTTAACTACTGAATTCGGGGTTTTTTTTGTTTTTGGGGGTTTTTTTTGACACAGAGAGAGATCACAAGTAGGGAGAAAGGCAAGCAGAGAGTGAGAGGGAGAAGCAGGCTCCCTGCTGAGCAGAGAGCCTGATGCAGGGCTCTGAGATCATGACCTGAGCCAAAGGCAGAAGCTTAACCCACTGAGCCATCCAGGCACCCCTGAATTCACATTGTTTTAAAGATAATGATATGTAATACAAAATAACTGCCTACTCGTCTTTAAAGTATTCAAGTAATGAAAGAAAAAAAATGAATAGCTACAGAAAAATATGAGACTAAGAAGAAAAAACTAACTGTAAGGTGTGATCCTGAATAGGATCCTGGGAATGAAAAATGACATTAATTGAAACTCTGGTAAAATTCAATTAAAGTTTGAAGTTTACTTAATGTTAATTACCTGATTATGATACATAAAATGTTAGCATTAGGGGAAACTAGGTTAGGCATATATGAGAACTCTCTGTATTGTTTTTCTTGTAAGTCTAAAATTAGCTTGAAATAAAAATTTAAAAATTTTAAAGTAATGATAACATTCATTACTGGCAAAGTAGAGGTTATATTTTGGTACATTTTTGCATAAATATGTTGGCAGCAGCTATCAAAGGTTTTATGTAAGTTCACATCGTTTGGTCCAATTATTCCACTTTAAAAACTTATGATAAGGAAATGAAGACATTTAATGAGAAATACTTTTAATAACAAAAAATTAAAATCTGTATGCCCAACAAAAGAATGGTTAAATAAATTATGATAGACTATAATGCAAACACTATGTTTTTGAAAAATATCCAATGACATAATCCCAGTAGAATGTTCAGAGAAAAAAGAGGAATACATATTTGTATACGTAGTATGGTCCTGATTTATATAATCTATACCATGTCTGCAGGGGGGAAAAAATCAAAATATAGTATGTATCCTTCTTTCTTTCTAAACTTCTCTCCAAAATAAATATTAAAGATAGAACATAAAGGTTTTATTTCATTTGTGCTTATTAACTAAGGGATAATTAAGTTTTCAGAATTTTGGTTTGCTAACTTTTCTACTGACACTGGTTAAGTTATGGAAACAAAATGAATGGAGTCAAAAGGTATAAACTTTTGGTTACGGAATAAATTAGTCATTGAGATGTAATGTACAGCATGGTGACTATAGATAACACTGTATTGCATATTTAAAAGTTGCTAAGAGTGTAGATCTTAAAATTTCTCATCACAAGAAAAAAAATTCTGAACTACATATGGTGATAGATGATAACTAGACTGTGGTGAACATTTTGCAATATAAATAAATACCAAATGATTGTTATGTTGTACATTTAAAATTAACATAATGTTGAATGTCAATTATACCTCAATAAATTTTTAACATTTTAAAAAGAAATAACCTTTCCTCACCACACTCTGCACAAACTACAGAATAAATAAAATACCAAATAAGTAAATAAACAGCTGTTTTTTAAACAAAAAAGAAGTCATGGAAACAGGTACTGAAGTAATCCAAATCACTTCTAGAATTTGAGGCCTAACAAGGCAAAATCTGTATTTGAAAATTAACATGTAATATAAAAAATGCATAATGCCATATGACTTGACTATAACCAAGCTCAATCTTGTTTCATAGTAAATATATTCTCCAAATATTTGCACTAAAAAAATGGAAAATGTTCACTTGTATTTTCCAAAATAGTTCTTTAACAGAAATACAGTTAATACTCTTAAAAACTTTATTAGGAAAACAACTCTAGTTAATTAAGCTCCAGAATTTCAGAGAACAGGCACACACTGTTCAACAATAACTGGATAAAATAATTTCTCCAACAGGGAGAATACAAAAAGTTCAGAAAGATATCAAATACAATAGTAAGGGTAGAATAGACACTAGACTTTGATTCAGAAGATTGGCACATTTAACTATATATACCTTGGGAAGGTCACTTCTGAGCTTCAAGTTATTCACCTTTCAAATTGAAGTAATAGTCACAATTGTGTTTTAATACATATAAATCAAATAGTTGTCACAACATTACTAATAAAAACCTAGTATTATACCCTATTATATAAATAGGTAAACTAAAGATAGTTGTGGTTATATAGGGCTCCCAATACAGTCCTGCTTGTTATTGATGGAGCTGTAATGAGAACCCAGAACCTGACAGATTCCAAAGCTTATACCCTTAAGCTAGATCACACTGAATTAATTTTAAGTGATAATAATATATCACTATTATCGGCAAGAGCTCTGAAAGAGATGCTAGAGTATAGAGATATTCCATGAAAAAGTAAACACACACACACACACGCGCGTGCGTGACATAAAATGAAAAACTGTAATTATAATTTATTAAAAGTAGTGGCTTCCAAAATTCAGAGTAAATTCCCTTAAATAGGAGTCTCAATTCATCCCCAGAATATATCTGTCATTCTTAACTTTGCACATTAGAATGCCTTGAAGAGTTTTTTGTTTGTTTGTTTGTTTGTTTTACAAGATACCATTTCCAGGACCCACCCAGACCAACTGGCACAGCCTCTCCTTTTAAAAACTTACCAAGACTGAGAAACACCAATTGAGGTGTTTTGATTTTAAAACTATATGCAACTAATGAATCATTGAGCACTATATCAAAAACTAATGATGTACTATATGCTGGCTAACTGAACATAATAATAAAAAAATAAAAATTAAAAACATAAATAAAACTATGCCCAGAGAAATAAACATCTCAGAAATAGCTCTAGTTTCTAACTTATATAACACCAAAGATACAAACCTTCCCTTTTTTTTTTTTTTTTTTTCTCACTGGGTCCAACGTTGGAAAGATTTTTATTTATTAAACTGAATTAAATAGTAAAGTTTCTTTTTCCAGTTTTCTAGCCTGCAAAAGCTACAATTTATGAAAAGTAACTGAGTTAATTTGATTCTAACTAATAGCAAAAAATCTTCAATTTTAAGCAGCTTTTCATCTTTTCAAATATTAGTAATAACCTGCAGAACCTTAGGATCCAAGATTGAGAGTCAGTGGTCTGGTTAAAATCTCTCACTTTAGAAATGAAGAAAATGAGGCTCAGAGAGGTTTCAACAATGCTTATTAACAAGGCTGAGTCAGCATTCAAGTCTCTTGCTTCAAATCTAAGTTTTTTAAACTACTGGCCCAGGGCTTATATCACTGTTAGTTATTATTTCAGATAGTTATTATCAGTATTAAGTAATAATAACTCAGGGAAAGAGAAACATTTGCCTAAACATATACTTTTATGATACATAACATCTTCAAAATATAAGTGGGAGGTGAATATACTTAGCCATAGATTTAAAAATCTGTAGCCCTCTTTTCCATTATTACATAAATTATAATTAAAATAACTCTACTATGAAAACACCTCAAAATATCAATTTTTAGTACTAACAGATCTGCAGATTACCTAATAGTAATATGAAATAGAGGAAAAATGGATTATTCCTACCAAACATATTTGGATTCAATTCTGGTTTTGCACTTGAATATTTGCAAGAAAATTAATAGGTGCTTTCATAGACAATAAGTGAATTACTGTCAAAGCACAAACATTTTCATTCAAATTTATTATTTCTCTAAAGCTAGTGCCAAATAGCTTACAATAAGCATGGCAAAACTACTGAGTTAGTTCAATTCCAACTAACAACAAAGAATCTTTACATTTGGGGTAACTTTTTTTTTTGAGTAATATAATTCCTTGACTTCAGGACCACTTTACACATTTAAAAATTAAGGAGGCCCCAAAATAATTTTTATTTATTTGGGTTATACCTATTGATATTTACCATATTAGAAATTAAAACAGAGAAATTTCTTAAAATATTTATTTAAGTAATAATAAACCCATTACAGATTAACATAAATAACATTTTTTATGAAAACTGACTATATTGCAAACACACAAAATATTAGTGAAAAGAGTGCTACTGTTTTACATTTCTGTAAATTGCTTTAATGTCTAGCTAAACCGTCGTAGTTTCTGCCTTCTGCTTCTGCCTTCAATTTATTAGAATATGTTGTTTTATTTGAAAAATAGAGAGAAAATCTGGCTTCATAAAGATATATAGTTGAGGGGCACCTGGGTGGTCAGTGGGTTAAAGCCTCTGCCTTCAGCTCAGGTCATGATCCCAGGGTCCTGGGATTGAGCCCCACATCGGGCTCTCTGCTAGGCAAGGAGCCTGCTTCCCTTCCTCTCTCTGCCTCTCTCTGTCTACTTGTGATCTCTCTCTCTCTGTCAAATAAATAAATAAAACCTTTAAAAAAAAAAGATATATAGTTAAAAAAAGATATATAAATAAATAAAGAAAGAAATTTTATTTATTTATTTGACAGAGATCACAAGTAGGCAGAGAAGCAGCAGAAAGAGAGGAGGAAGCAGGCTCCCTGCTGAGCAGAGAGCCCAATGAGGGGCTCAATCCCAGGACCCTGGGATCATGACCTAAGCCAAGGGCAGAGGCAGGGAGTAGTATTTTAATAGCAATTTAGGATAACTATGGATACACTTCTTTGATACTACACCAAAATTCAACAGTTGATATTTTCTTAAGAGTTTACTATAATGTGGCATCTGACTTGCTATTTACTAAACTTTTCATACTTTGTTACATTAAAATCTATCAGTCTCACACTTTGAATGGATCTTTTATCTGTATGATTCTATAACATCATGCACTGGTTTTTTTGAAAATACTGGGGGTTTTTTGGATTATGCTGATCCTCCAAATGTACACAGAATTCATTATACAGTAACAAAAAATTGTGTTTATTAATTGCACGACCGAGAGGAAAGTCTTTAAGAACTAGGAAGCTACCAAGATCACAGTGGCAAATACAAGTTTTCCAAAATTCTAATTTGTGCTTGAAAGCGCAATTTTACCCAAGAAATGCTATCAGTTGTTTTCCTATAAATGTGCACTTTGTTCAGTTTGGAGGAAATGTCTGCCAAATAACCAAGACTGAATCACTCACTATGTGTAGCAACCAGACTCTAAAGTAGCCTCCATTATCACCATCCCCTGGCGTTAATGTCCTGCACAATTCCCACCCCTTTGTGTAGGCAAGACACGTGACTTATTTCTAACCAACAGAATACAGCAAAGGTGAAAGGATATACATGATTTTGTGTATATAACTATATTATATAAGATCATAATGCCATTCTCCTAAGGATTTTCTCTTGTGGGCTTTGAGCAAGTAAGAAGCCATGTGGGAAAGACCCAGTTGGCAAAGCCAGAGACTCTCAGTGTGACAACCGTTAAGAAACTGAATGTTGCCAATTACCATGAGAACTTGGAAGCAGATATCTCTCCAGTCAAGCTTCAGATAAAACTGCAACCTCAGAGTCCACACCTTGAATGTAGCCTTGTGAGACCCTGAAGCAAAGGATCCAGCTAACCCATGACTTGACTTCTGACCCATAGAAACTATGAGATAATAAATGTATGTGGTTTTAAATCATTGTTTGTGGTAATATTGATACACAAAAATATATAATACACCATGGTTTATCAGTCATTCTTTCAAGCAAAAGCAGTCTTCTATTTTTAAAAAGTGGGTAGTTTAGCTCACATTTCAATCACAGGAGTGCTTTTCCTCAAGATAACCATTGAACTTCAGACACAGAAGTGCTTTTGCATACTATCCATTTCATCACACAAAGTATTTTGAAAAGACACATATTCAAGGTAGAGATTTTAAAAAATAACATGTTAATACTTCATCAAGGAAATCAAGCATGAATGTATTTTAATGGGAATGCATGGTGGGAATGAATACAAAAACTACTCATACTTGGTATCACCGTCTTGATTTATACTAAGGCACCAGCAGTTTACTCAATATTACTTTTGCATCACCAACACAAATGTCAACATGGTGGAAAAGGCAAATAGTGTCTTTTATTATTATGACAATAGTACTGACTCCCAAACCCATGAAAGAGTCTCAGGGGACTGAAAACTACACACTGAAAACTACTGCACTAAGGCAATGGTTCCATTTTAAGTCTATATTTATATATAATACATATGTATATACTTAGGTAAATACAGTTAGTCTGGATTGAAATCCCATATCTAACATTTTGCCAGCTGTGTGACCTTGAATAAATAATTTAACCTCTGTGAACCTCAATTTCCTCAACTATAAAACAGGAATAATAATAATAATAGTGCATCCTTTACAGGGATGGTTAAGAATTAAGTGATTATGTGTAGCATTTAGAACAAAGCATTACACATAAATATCAACTGTAATATTAACTATTACCATCAACTATTATTATTTATTAAGAGTTTTTTAAACTAATTATGAAGATATATTTTCAGAATAAAAATCTATAATGTCCTCTCAAAAGTTTTTCCCAATTAAGAACAAAGAACAACTGACCCAATTTACAATCTTAAATAATTTTCCATTATGCAATATTCATTATGCTTTTATCATATTTTGATAACACAATTTTCAATACTTTACCTATTAAACTTAAGCATGTCACCTGATTTAGGAACTGGATGGATGAATAGTTCCTGCAGTTATTACTCTGGGCACTGGCTAAGATATCATGAAGATAGTGACATTTTCTGATTTTAATTATGCTTCTATTAGATGGCTACCCATGACAATCCAGAATTTTAATTGGTATTGTTTATACTGATAAGTAATATCCAATGTATCCCTAAGCTGTGTAGTTTCAGAAACACTTACAGGTTTAGACAAAGGCTGAACAATAACAGAACTATCAGAAGATCTAGATTCAGGATGAAAATTTATTGGCGAGGCAGCCACTGGATTTGATGTTGGGTTGGTGTAGTGTTGACTTGTAGGCTTGAATGCAGCAGTAATACCTGTATTTAAAATTACACAATACATTAAATATATTTTCATATAACTAATGATGTCAAAATACTTCACTTTAAAAGTAAAAAAGTAAAGTAATACTGTACCTCGACTGAGTGCACCGTTCTTTACTCCCCTTGAATATGAGCTGGGGTTTACTCTATTCAAAATATCTACAAAAAATTATATTTATTTTAAAATTCATTATTTGAATAAAATATACACTAAGAAAATAGAAATCATGAATTGAAAACAATCAAATAGATTCCTGGAAGGAGTTACTAGCCTTGTTTTATAAAGTTTTTTTAAATTTTATTATTTATTTGACAGACAGAGATCACAAGTAGGCAGAGAAGCAAGCGGGGGGGGGGGGAACAGGCTCCCCACTGAGCAGAGAGCCCTATGTGAGGCTCCATCCCAGGACCCCAGGATCATGACCTAAGCCAAAGGCAGAGGCTTTAACCCAGTGAGCCACCCAGGCACCACACTAGCCTTGTTTTATAGAATAAGAACCACCTTTCTAACTGTAACTCAAAATCCAAAAGCCAGAAGTAAAAGACTGATAAATCTGACTACATACAAGTCAAACTTTCTGCAAAGTTTCTTTTATGGCAAAGAAATATTCCACATAATTAGTAAAAATCTTCCAAAAATATATGTATATAGAACCTATAATTAATGTATATATCTTTCTTTGAATGGCAACAGGGCTATATCCACTCAGGTTTCTATCACTCAAAACCAAACCCCTAACCAACCTCCATATTCCATTCACACCTTCCCTGGAAGTATCATTATGAGGGATCTCACCAGATTATCTGCAGCATTAATCTTGAGTCCTGAAAGGGAAAAACTAGCACAGATTGCAGGCTAAAATTACAGTTTATCAGAGTAACTTATAACTTAAGGGGTTTCAAATCCACCAATATACCAGAATATACCAGAAGTCAATCTGAGCGTAATACAGAACTCTCAGGATCACTTTAAAGTTCCTGATTCTGGCATGCAATTTCTGCAACTTCTAGACTATTTGCTAGTCAAACTAAAATTGGGAAGAGTATGGATTTGCCAAAAATTGATGGTTACAAAAACGTAAAAGCACAAACAAGTCCTAAACGTCATAAAAATTTCCTTTTTCCCTCACAGTAAAAAAGAACCAGATCCCATAAAATAACTCTATGAAGTACAGGAACACACAAAAGTAGGGCTGTTTTCTGATAATGGCAATGCAGTGCTCTATACCTAAGCATTACTTATGTCTTATAGAATAAAAACCTTCTCACACAACTTGACACCATTCTCACTCAGAAACTCAAGATTATTAGTCAAACCATCAAAGAACTATTGGCTAATGTACTTTTTCGTGGCTGTATTCTACAACAAAAAAGTTTTTACTCCCCTTTCTAGCAGTTCTATATAAACACTTAACTCATATTCCATATATTAAAAATTTTATGGCTTACACAAAAACAATAATAAAATTCATTTAAATTCTGCATAACTGTCGAGAAAATAATTTTTATTGGGGTCAGTCTCCTTTTTGACAGAATTATTTTAACATTAATAAACACTGTTCTAGTTGAATACTGTTAACAATTTTCTACTAGTATAATTTAACTTGATCTTAACTGTTATTTTTTCAAAAATTCTAATAACTATTTTATAATATGGTAATATTCCAGTAAAAAATGATCACAATGACTAAAAATAGTAATTAAGAGAATGTATAATCATGTTCCACTATCATCAACAAGCATGCCATCATGCCTAGCTCAATTTACAATCAAAGTGGCACTCCACTTAGAACCTAAAAGATTATCAATCTGCCACAGGAAATGGTATTGAGAATTTAATTGGTTAAGTGATTCTCCCTCTGATAAAACTGAATAAAAGTGCCATTCCAAGTTTAGAGGCAACAGAAGAAAGAACCAAGCTTTCAGAAGCTTTCAGAAAAGTACTCTTAATCACACTTCTGAGCACTGCCTTGATAAGAAAACTCTATTACGCTGGTCATATTCTTTGTTAAATTCCCCTGGCTGGCTTAAACAAGCGAACAAATAAACATGTACCTGCAATGGGAAATGATTTATTTTCTCCTTCTGCCCTAAAATCTGTATATTAGTTCTCTGCACTTTTTTACATTTTTGAGTGGACATTTTAATAAGTGTCATTGGTCACTGCTTTAACATTCTAACAACATCAAATCCAACTACTCTAACAAAAATCTAATAATCCACAAAGGTACCAAAATATTGTGCTAGAAAGCCATGAAAGATTTAAGTATTAACTAACTGCTACATCACCCAAGTACAGTGGCTGTAGACAGTGCTCTTCTCTTTCATGACTATAAATGTGAGTTGCTGGAAGATGAATGTGGTCAGAAGCTGAACCCCCTGTTGGCACACAGGCTAGAGACTGAAATTATTCTCTGCCTATATATTTTGTAGCATTGTATGGATGACACTGTAGTTGCCTGGATGTGACAACTCCTGTTTGAGACTAAAATTTATTTAGCATATTAGGACACTTGAAGAAAAGTATTCTAACCTCTTCCAGTTCTCTAACTCTGTGTTTAAGGTGGGGGGGAGGGGAGATAAACAAACAGATGAACAGGTTACTTGGCTCCACTAAAAACTATGATTTCCAATTTCAAAAGACCTCCAATGTATCAACTAATCTTAGTCTATTTCTTTTCCTCACATCTGGTATTTTAACCTTTTACCTCCCTCCTCAAGTCCTTAATCACATCCTCATCCTGATTCTGTAATTCTCACTCACCTCTCACCAAATCTTTCATCTCTAACTCCTTACAGAGGAACAAGTACATAAGTACCTTATAAAGCAGTTCACAAGGTCTTCCATTAGAAACAGTATGTTATAAAAATCAGTTCCACTAAAAGTAAATGCTTACTTGAAATTGCTGGTTTTGAACTTGTTATCTCTCCAACAAAGATTGGCTCATCATCATCATCATCTTCAACCTCTTTTACTTTCTTCTGCCATGGTTCTAACTCTTCTTCTTCACATTCCATAAAGAGTTCTGCCATTTTTGAATTACCTAATTTTCAAAAGGAGAGAAGTAAACCTTATTTTCAAAAAGAAAAGTAAATATATTTTTTAAAATTCACAGTATATTTAAGATCCACTCTAATAGCCCTAGTGGCAACTCATGACTTGATAGTTAGTTCACGGAAGCAACAGTGAGAAACTCAGAGCTCACTCTCTAAGATAAAAACTAACAAATTTAGATAAATAGATAATAGTTGACAGTAGTTATTTACATGAAACAGTCAAAACCAGTTCCAGTCTTATGCCTGGAGTATAATTTTATCTACAAAAGAGACTGCACCTAACCATTATCTGGGGAGTAAATGTATTAACAAAGGGGAGATAAACTAAGAATAAGAGGCAACTCATAGGAGATATACTAGAAAAACTGAACCGAATTCAGGAATTCCAGTCACAAAACAGGGATGAGGTGCTAAAGTAAAATAAGGGAAACAAAGTGAGACTTATTCCATTCAGGGCAAATTAGACATTTCTTATCTAAAGAAACAGATCAAAGAATGTGCAGTAAATATGAACTTACACCACCTTAGAAGTTCTGACCAAGCACAGAGCTCCTAGGATGAATTTTAAATATTAAATGTTTCTCTTAAATGTTAATATTTAAATATTAAATATTAGTGGACAATCAATAAGTACCAGAAATTTGAGGAAAACCTCCTGTCTTTTAGACCAAATCAATAAAAAACATAAAGAATCCTAAGGAAAAGAGATAATGCAGAGAGCAAGAAAAATATCAAGGAAAATATAGTTAGCATCTTTAGAGATATTAGATAAGAATGTTATAAAAATATTCAGAAAACAAAAAGTTTTAAAAATATGATAGCCAAAAATTTTTAATTCAATTGCTTTTAAAAACTCGAAATATCCCCACAGGTGGAACTAAGAGAAAAAGAGAAAAATACACACACACACTCACACAAACTAGATAAAGAAGAGGACACAAGTTTGTCAGAGAAAATCAATTTCCAAGTACAACATTCACCTAATAAAATTTACAGAAAGAGAACAGAGAGAAAGCAGAGAGTAGGTTATCTGAGAAGTAATACAGACATATTTCCTAGATTGGAAAACATACGTATCTAGGTTGTAAGGCCCCACTAGGTACACAACACAATGATCAAGAAAAAAGTTACATCAAGACACATCGTCATGAAATTCCAGAACGAAAGAGATAAAAAGATAAGATCTATGGGGTGTGGTGGGGCACAGGGGTTGAGGTGAGGTGGGAAGAACTGTTCATATAAGAAAGGTCAGTAAGAATAAGAACCATAGAATAATACTTTAGTAGAAGACAGTAAATAATACTTCAATAATTTCTTACCAAAATTATTTTTCAATTTAGAGTTCTTTACACAGTCAAACTTTTCATCAAGTGTGAGAATAAAGAACAGCAACATCACACAAGATTTACTTCCCATGTAAAACCCTTCTCAGAAAGTTACTACAGAATCCATAAAAAAGATAAGACTTAACCAAGAAAGAAGACACAGCATGTAGAAAATATGATATTCAATACAATACAAAGTCCCAGGACAACAGCTGTTCAGCCCACCCGGAAGACAACCAGTCCAGACTAGATTGGATCAGTACTTCAAAAGGAAATATCTCTGGGACACCAAAGAAAAGATAATTAAAATGTAAACTTTTAGGTTACCTGACAAGTTTTACTGCGTAGAAAATTGAATTGAGAGGCTACTGAAGGGTGTGGGAAGACGTGCCTACAGATTTTAATATAACTTAGCAAATGAAAAAAAGTGAAAAGCATTAACAGCTGCACAGGAGAGAAAAAAGAAAGAGAAAGAAAAGAAAAGGGAGAGAGGAAGGAAAGAGGAAAGGAAGGGAGGGAGGGGGAGAGAAAGAGGAAGGGTGGGTGGGTGAGTGGGAGCAAACAGTAAATGTATGTATTCTATGTATAACAGAATATTAAAAGCATATTACAATGCTCATCAGTGAAAAGCATTTATTGTAGTCATCATAAAGAAACATCAACTATGGATTAACAAAATATTGAGACAATAATTATATTGGGAGATACTTGGAAGGAAGGGGTAGCTCTAAGCAAGCAAAAATTCTCATGATTATTAGAAAGCAGTTAAAACTGATTATGCAACACACAGCACAACAAATATGCATATATGCACATAAGCACTCCTCAAGAAACTTTGATTAAGCCATTTAAAGCCTTTCAGATGGTCTTGACTATGTGCATATACTGCTTTAAGCTGAGATGGAGAAAAAAGAAAAGGTGGACGGGAGGGGGAAGAGAAAGAGTACTGAGGACCTAAACTAGTCACAGTGGAGATGGATATAAGTGGATATAACTTAATATACAGAATGAGATGGGGGAGGTCTACCAACCCCCCTCCCCCAAAAAACTCTAGAGTACTGGCTTTGACAATATCTTTCATTTATCATTTAAACATAGTCATTTCTAAGGGTAATTTTTTATTAGAGTAATGCCACTTCTACTTTTGACTCAAAATTAGGACAATGTTCTACCACCTCTTAAAAGATAAGAAAAAATACTGTAACTGAAACAACACTTTGGGGATGGCATACAAAGGAAATACCGTATCAAATTAAGAACAATTCTTTTATAAATTTTTAAATTTTTTCCTTTCTATAAAAGTATGTCACAAATGATTTCCTGTCTTAACATAATTTAAATGTTAATAGCCTACCCACCAAAACAAAAAAGGCCTCCCCATTTTCCCAAATGTCATGAACATCATGAACTGATCCCTTTCTTTTCTAAACTATACTGTTTTATTAATTATATAGAATTCTGCAAGTCAAATGATTAAAAATATTATATGTCCCAAGACCAAACTGAGCTCTTTGAGTGTATTTCCTTCTATACACTAGATAGCCAATAGGCACATGGTATATAATTTATGGACTAGGAAACTAAGTGGTCAGACAATGCGTAATTTTTAAAAATTAGGGAAACTTACTGTATATGGATAATAAAAGTTTCTAATCAGTTGGTGTTATGGGATGAACTATGTTTTTCCAAGATTCCTATGTTAAAGTCCTCACCATCAGTACCTCAGAATATTACTATATTTGGAGACAGGGTCTTTAAAGAGGTGGCGAGGTTAAAATGAAGTTATTGGGGTGGGTGCTAATTCAATATGACTGGTGTCCTTAAAAGGTGAGACCAGAACATGGATACACGCTTGGAGGTAAAACCATCTAAAGACATAGGAAGCATATGCGCATCTATAAGCCAAGGAAGGAGCCCTGGTACATATCCTTCCCTCATGGTCCTCAAAAGGAATCAACCCCACCAATACTTTGATCTCATACTTCTAGTCCCCAGAACTGTGAGAAATTCTGAAATAAATTTCTGTTGTTTAAGCCATCCAGTCTATGGTTCTAGGTTATAGAAGCCCTAGCAAACAATACAGAATACAAAGGTCTTACTCATTCTTCTTAACAGGGCATTGCCATTGTCAATACACTCAGGATAGATTGTTGAGAAAAAAAAATTTAAAGACACAAAAGAACTCTATGTTTTTTAGAAATAATTATTTTTTGTTTATGCATAAAAGAAACAGAGGTAATTATGTACACTGAACTAACAGTTATCACTGGGCATAAGAAGAAAAAACATTTCATTTCTACTTTACTCACTTCTTAATTTACATTATCTGTTATGTGAGCATTTGATACTCTAACAACTTTCAAGTTTTTTTTGTCTTTAAGAAAATGTGCCTACCTCTCTTCCTTTCTACTGAAGCAAATTTATTTAGTACAAAAGCCACGTATACTAGTATCGGTTGTGGCAGCAACACTTACTTTTTGGCTGAAAAGGGTTGTCGCCCATCAAGTTGCAGAGTTGACTTTCTGTAAATTGTCACCTAAGTACTGACACATGATATCAGTCAATTTTATGAGTCACTTTCAGTAATGCCAAATATTGAAATATGAAACTTGGGGTTCAGAAATTCTTGGATCTAATTTTGATCTCGAAACTCACCATGTGACTCCAGACAAGAGAGCAATTTATATCTCAGTTTTCCTTCCTATAAAATAAAGATACCTAGTATTAGAGTGGATCTCATTAAATTAAATGTACACATACTTAATCTTTTTTCCTACAAAAAGCTCAATTTTTAAGTTTGAGATGTCTGACATATACTTGTAACTCACTTTATATATAATTGGTTCATTCTTGAATGAATGCAAATTCAGTAAATAAAATGGTAATTCTATTAAGCACTTACTCCTTGGAAGAAGTCTGAATTATTAACCTACAAATAATTTTTTAACGTGTCCTTTTATATAAATGAGTAATCACTTTATGATGTATTGTTTTAGCAAGTCTGAATTTTCAAATACTAAGGGATACTAATCTTTAACTATAACCTATTCACATTTCAGACATAAATGTAATTATTTCCACAAGAAAACATAACTTTAAATAAATTTTAGTTTATATGTTTCTAATTTTTTATCAAAGACCTTAAAAGAGAAAGAAAATTAATTGGAAAGGGAGAGCAAATTAATTGGACATACTTCATCACCGATTAATTCACTCAAAAGTAACCACTCATTGGCATGCCTGGGCTAGCTGTCAAAAGAGCATACGACTCTTGTTCTCAGGGTAATTCGAGGCCCAGGCTGGGTGTAGAGATTACTAAAAAATAAGTAAATAAACCAAAAAAACCAGTAAGAACTCATTGCCTTCTAAATGCAAGATAATGTGCTAAGTTCTAGGGAAAAAACAGAAATGAGTAACTCATGGTCCTTGCCTTCAGAAATTTATAATCTAATATACCTATATTTCTTTGGGATTGAAAAGATATTGCTATTAGAATAAAAATTATCAAAAAGAAATTTTAATTCATTTATTTAAAACAAGAATTATTCTGGATTCCCAAACACACAACAGCATAAATTTTATAAAATTTACAAATTTTAAAATAACTTTTAGTTATAAAGCAAAAAAAGATAAAAACTAGACAGCAGATACCTAAAATACTCAAATGCACACTAATTCAATCTTTATATTTCTCCTTATCCTCAGGCTGACACAAGCAAATATTCCTGCTCTCTAGTTCCCAATTTATTTGGACTGCATTAATCCACAGTGGAAAATAACTAATTAATTTGGACTGCATTAATCCACAGGGGAAAATAACTCATTTTAATTTCAGAAGTTACTTTTATAAATGTTTTCAATAGTATCACAAGAGTCTCTAATGGATCTTTTTTTTTTTTTTTAAGATTTATTGATTTATTTGAGAGAGAGAGAACACGGAGCAGATGGAGGTGCAGAGGGAGAAAGACAGAGAATCCTCAAGTAGACTCTGCTGAGCACAAAGCCCCATATGGGGCTCAATCCCATGACCCTAAGATCATGACCTGAACCAAAATCAAAAGTTGGAGACTTAAACGACTAAGCCACCTATGGGCCAAGACTCTAATATATTTTGTGTTTAAATGAATTCACCAAGTTCTGAAGTCTATTTAAATCTCATTAACTCAATTATTTGAAAAGTTGTAGCTTACCTCTAAACTATTATCAATATTATGAATATGTCAAGGAGATAAATACATGACAATTTTTGCTCATGTTAAGGACCTAGTTGTTAGCTAGAGTATTTTTCAAGAGCCACAATTACACAGCTTATGAGACTCAAATATAATATTTTTTATTTCAGTAGTTATACTGGGTTCTAATAATGGTTATATTGAATATTATATAGTTGACATATATGCATTTTTTGCTAGGTGATCATATAAATATCTTTTGCCAAAACTCTGAAATTAGTATTCAATTTACAAATATTCAATTAATGACTGACTTGTCAATACAAAGACATCTACTGCCTGCTATGATAGAGATGACTTTAGGATAACCTACTTCAAAAGCTCAAGGAAACCTCAGAAACCTCAACTGATATGGTCTCAAACACACTATAAAATTGGAAATCCTCTGATGTAATTAGAACCATAATTTCAGCCTAAAGCTGTATTGTATAATATAGTAGCCATTAGCCACATGTGACAATTTAAGTTTAAACTAATTAAAATTAAGTAAAATTTAAAATTCAGTTCCTCAGTTTTACTAGCCATATTTCAAATGCTAAAAGCCACATGTGGCTGGTGGCTACTCTACTGGACAGTAAAGCTACAGAACACTTCCACCAGACAACACGGGACTAAAGAATCATTGCCATATCTTGTTCTGATTAATAAATACTTTCATGAATTCCTTTGGCATCTTAGCCATTGAAGCATGTCAAAATTACCACCATAAAAACCTCTCAGGTCACCACTTCAGAATTTTGGTGGTAAGGAATGGAATTCTATGAAGGATTAAATCAGCTACCATGGAAGTAGAATATCCAGCAAAGGTATGCTGTGGGGATCTCAAAGTTCCAAAATGTCTCTAATAGCTGCTACAGCTCAGACTGAGCCCCAAAATAGCCAGAAAAAAAGAACACTCAGTTTCAGCTACTGACTTGTTTTATGACCACGTTTAATACACTTGTTTCTATGAAGAAAAAAAATAAATTCCAATTAACTGACTTATCAAATACTTTTTAGAAAATCATTCATTCACTGTTGGGGACTGCTCACATAAATATTTTTAATTCCTATCTTACTATTTTTTTTAGCTTTTATACATCTAAAATTAAACAATATCTTAAATAATTTTTTCTATAGATATTTAAAAAATTCAATGGAAATGTAGGTCTAAATTTTTAATTGTTAGAAAAATTTACTTTTATCCATTCAGAGGTATCACCTGATACAATATCACTGTGTTAAATAAAGGTAATGCATTTTCTCTGGTACCTAAGCACAAAGTATGGCACAGGTGTGTTATGTACTAGATATAGTTCTATTTACTTTCTGATAAAAGATTAAGCAATTCTACAAACCACAACTGTAGAGTCTGCACATGAAGAAAGAGCATTAGGCCAGAAGCCAGAAGAACCAAATCATAGCCTCAGCATTGCTACAACTTTCAATCAAATCACCTTAAAATTCTGGGTCTAGGCTCTAATAATCTCTACAGCCTAATTTAGCTCTATACTGTATACTGTGTACTTTAAACATTTATTAACAATAAACAGTAAAACATGGTGAAGAATGAATGCCACATTCAAATTCTGACTCAACCATTTACTAGCTGGATGACCTTGGGAAAGTTAATCTCTGTGCCTTGCTTCACTATACATATGTAACTTATTTCATAAAGTTATAGTGAAAATTAAATTAGATAACACACATAAAGCATGTAACTCAGTGCCTGGCACACAGAAATCATCCAATAAACCTTAACAATTTTTAACTCTGTGCTTAATACCATTTTTAAGAACCCTAAGAACAGATCACAATTTTGTTAGTATACTAAAATTTAAAAGCTATCAGCTGAGCATTCAGAAATTATTTTGTTTTTTAAGATCTTCATTGCAATAGTATTTCACATGATGACATGTTAGCTTTGTAAGTATACCTTCTAGAATGTAGTGGTCAAATCTATCCTACCATATTTTCATCTTTTTAAGAAAGAAGCATGTGAAAACATATAAAAAATTTTATACCTTCATATAAACATAACACACAGACCTAAAATGTATCAATACTGTTAAATTACATATTACTAGTCTCATAGAATAAAACAAATATCTAATTCAAAGATACCAGCAGATAAAAATTAACATTTGGATAAAGTGCCTTATACCATTTCCATTAAAAAAAAAAAAAACTTTCATTTTACATCCATCACTGTATTTTAATTTCTAAAAAAAAATCCTTTTTAAAAATGAGTAAGCAGCAAGTAAAATAAAAAAGTGAGGAATATGGTGAATGGTTGAATTGAAATGGTGAATGGTCCATCTCCCCAGACCCAAAAGTTATTCAATGAAATAATCTGAGAAACCACATTATAAAGTTAATCTTTGTTTTCTTCTCATTATAAAGATAATATTTTAATCGGGGGCCTGCATTCCTAACCAAGAAATTGGCAACATCAAAAACCAGATTAACATAAAAGGGAAAATACAAAACCAAAATTAATATAATTTTAAAAACTGAAATTATTCAAAATAAGGGTAGCATATACAAATAATGTTCAACTAACTCATAAATTATGTCTAAGATTAACAAGCTAGCTGTAAGAAACACTAAACCTTTAATAATTTTACTTATACTTAGAAGAATTTTTCAGCAGAATGATTTTGATGACATAGGGTCACCAGAACACTGTCATTTTTTTCCTCTCACAAATTTCACAAGAAATCGGGTATTCAAATCATTCCACTAACTTTAAAACTTTGGTTTACAGCCTATTTCATTTTATAAACAATTCTTCAGTCTTTGTGACTAATGGCATACTGAAATGAAGGTCTATCCCAAATGAACAGAGCTTTAAAGATTCAAAGTGAGTTCTTAACTATGAATAACAATTTAGTATTTCCAACCCTGGTTCTGTGATCTCTCAAAAATTTCCAGCTATCTCAAGCTGATACTAGAAAATTCATTTTAATGTTCATTATCTTAAAAACATACATAGTCTTTTGAGGACAGAGAGCCACTTTAAAAATTCCACTTCTATATCACCTTAATATCCATCACCTATTGATCCCATCATGGAAATTAACTGTAACAGGGTTAGAAAAACAGAGAATGATGATGTGTACCTTGGCATATAAATCACACAAATACACCTTATAGCATAAGCTTTAAACCCTATATAATTAAAAAAGACCACAACTATTTCATAAAATTCAGATGTTTAAATATGAAATTTTATAAAGAAATTAACTTATTAATTTATAAACATTAAGCAGATGAAACCCAATTTCAAATAAATACAAATACAAATTAAAGTACTTCCCCCTTTTATGCCTCTTATTTCTTAAAATACTTTATTGTTAGAAAACTCAGTACCTATACTTTTTTAGAATCAGTCCAGTTAATCGGTTACTGTTAAAAACCACACTTATTCTTGAAAAGGGCACATTTCAACCACACAAAATGTACAATTAGAAACATCTGATCACTAGCA